CGCCGTCCCCCCCCCCCGCTCCAAGGGCTTTGGCTGCAGTTCCTCACATCCCCCCCCCCCGTTTATTCATTCGCTCCATCTCCATTTCCTTCTTTCTTCTCCATCCTGCCTTGCTTCCTCTTTACCTCTCTGATTCTTGAGAGAGGGCTGTTGTTGTTGTTGTTGTTTTGGGGGGGTGACCCCAGCAACCCAAAATGGCTGCCAAGTTCTTGGTGACCATTTAAGATTGCCTAGGCCAGCACAGAAGAACATTTGCTGAGTTCCCAGTCTTGCTTAGGATTTTCTGTGGAATTTGCCGGAGGGCTTATGCCACGCGTGTCGGTTTCCCCGGGCCCTTAATCCCTTCTATAAATTCTACAGAAAAGTCTGAGTGAGGCCAGGGGCTTTCGATATTGTCTGTAGCTACCTAGGCGAATCTGAAAACAGTGCCCAAGAGAGCACAAAGTAGTTTCATGAAATTTCAGTGACCATTTATTCTTTTTTGGGGGGGGGTTTGCCTTTCATCCCTATCCCCTTTGTGGGGGCCCCCCGCCCCCGAACTGTAAAATATTTCTGCAAACCTGGAAATTCCCCTGGTTGGCAGAAATGTCTACCGTAGCCCAGAATGGCCTCTCTTTGCAGACTGTGCTTTTGTTCTCCCCAGTCGCCCTCTTTTGACAGCATGGAAGAAGCAGGTGCAAGAGAGGGCTTGGCTCTGTAGGGCGAGGAAGGCGGGCAGCTGGGGGAGCCTTCACGCTTCTTCCCCTGTGCCCCCACCCGTGCCCCCATCTCTCCATCTCTCTCAGCGAACAAAGTCAGTGGCTCACTGTGCTTTTGTTCTCCCCAGTCGTCCTCCTCCTCCTTATTTCCTTTCCCTTGAAAACAGGGATCCTCCCCCCCCCCCAACTTGGGGCACTTTAAACGACTCAGTCCTTCTCACAGGCCCAGCAGCAGCATCTGTCTCCCTCCTAAATTTTTTTTCTCTCACAGCCTCCTCCTGTCTCTCCCCCATCTGGAAAGGTGGCCATTTGCAGGGGCGATGCATCAGTGTCAGGGTGGGGCGTTGGAGCTTGGAGGTTTGACTGAGGCGTAACTAGTTTCGCTCTTTGGGAGGATGACTTTCCCCTGTGATCAAAAACGAGAACTTTCATTGGGATTCCCCAAGGACCGGACCATGCAAAAAGGAAACTGCTTTTTGTAGTGCTAAAGCACAGAGGCAACAAACCTATAAGTGTTTTTAAAACTCACTCTCTTTTTGTCTCTCTCTTTCTCTCTCTCTCTCTGTGTAATTATTCACAAAGTAACCAGGAAAAGTCAATTATAGTTTGACTGTTGTTAACTTGACATTACGGAAGCAAAATTTTCGTTCTCTCTGAACACTGCTTGTCATATAACAGATGTTTCTAATGGCTTGATTTTGATTTCTTATATGAAGTGACTAACCCAGTAAATCAGGAATATCATACTAAATCTGGTTTCTCATTGCCTTGGTTGCAGGCTCAGTAAAATGTTGGCAAAACTAATAAGTAGATTGCTTCTTCTTGTGTTTTGTTTGACCCCTTTCTTAAAATTAAGCTGTTCCTGTCGTTTAATAGTAGCCGCCGAGCTGGATATTAACACAGGTTTAATCACCAAACCTTCCAAACATTAATATTTGTTTTCCCCCTTGAATCTTGGTTTAGAGCAGGGACCCCCAACTTCGTGTCCGTGGGCACCATGGCACCTGCTGGCACCTCTCCTGGTGCCCGCCAAGTGTTCGTAAAAAAGTGGGCGAGGCCAGGTGGTGCTTTTGCCTAGCAAGGCTTCTGATTGTCCATTGGAGATTCGATTGGCTGTGCAGGTCTTTTAAAACATTGCTTTGGCTGCAGCCGCCACAAGAGCACAAAGATCTTCACTGTGTGACTAGAATAAGCTGCGGCAGCCATTTTGGGGCTGGCCCCACCTCCTGTAGCAGCCATTTTGCGGCAGTGCCCACCACACCGCGCCAGAATTCTGACGGTACCCGCAGGCTCAAAAAGGTTGGGGGTCCTTGGTTTAGGATAATACTTTGTCAAAAGAGTTTCAGTGCTGACAGACTATCTGTTATTAGATTCTAAAACTTTGAAATACACCTGATTTTGTGCCAGTTGGGGGGGGAATGCTTTGTTGTAGGAATTGCAGGCCTGGTTCAGTGTAACTGATAGGTATGCCGCTGAATTTGGATCTGAAATGAAAAACTTGGGAGTAGCGGAATAAGCTGTTGTTCTCACGGCGCGCCTGTGGCATTATGTGCGTCCCTTGACAACAAGCGGCAGATGAGCAAAAGAGATCACGTGTCAAATGGTCTGCTTCAGTAGTTGGCTGAGGGGATGCTACATCCAATAGGCAGCAGAGGGCGATGTTTCTAACCATTCATACAGATGTGTAAACTCGCTGTTTACTGATGCAAATATCTAAGTCCTGCATTCTCGCAGGGGATGACGCCTAGGAGATTTCCACTTGGGATCTGGCGACAAATTGTGGATCTCGAGTTTTGACTGTCGGTATCATCAGCAAAATCATGCTATGCGTGGGTGAGACGTTGAAGTACATATAAAGAATTGGTCTTGAGAGAGCAGAATTCTTGAGCAGTGTTGGGTGAACTCTCTTGTGCTTGATTTGACTGGGGAAATGCTCAGGGAACAAAACTCATCTTCTGATAGTTCTCTTTTCACTTGTTGATGTGCATCAACCATGTTGACAATGGGTACATGTGCCTGGTAGTGACAGTAAAGCAAACTTTTCTTCCAGTAAGTCGTTCTTAAATTATATATTTTCATTTTTGTCTCTGTAGCGCATGGGTGAAAAAAAATGTACAGAATAAAATTGAATTCTTCTGGTACCCGCAGGCTCAAAAAGGTTGGGGATCCTTGGTTTAGAATAATACTTTGTTAAAAGAGTTATTAGATTCTAAAACTTTGAACTGCACCTGATTTTGTGCCAATTGGGGGGGAATGCTTTGTTGTAGGAATTCCAGGCCTGGCTCAGTGTAACTGATAGGTATGCCGCTGAATTTGGATCTGAAATGAAAAACTTGGGAGTAGCAGAACAAGCTGTTATTCTCATGGCGCACCTGTGGCCACTTGACAACACGCGGCAGATGAGCAAAAGAGCTCACGTGTCAAACGGTATGCTTCAATAGTTGGCTTAGGGGATGCTACATCCAATAGGCAGCAGAGGGCGATGTTTCTAACCATTCATACAGATGTGTAAACTTGCTGTTTACTGATGCAAATATCTAAGTCCTGCATTCTCGCAGGGGATGACGCCTAGGAGATTTCCACTTGGGATCTGGCGACAAATTGTGGATCTAGAGTTTTGACTGTCGGTATCATCAGCAAAATCATGCTATGCGTGGGTGAGACGTTGAAGTACATATAAAGAATTGGTCTTGAGAGAGCAGAATTCTTGAGCAGTGTTGGGTGAACTCTCTTGTGCTTGATTTGACTGGGGAAATGCTCAGGGAACAAAACTCATCTTCTGATAGTTCTCTTTTCACTTGTTGATGTGCATCAACCATGTTGACAATGGGTACATGTGCCTGGTAGTGACAGTAAAGCAAACTTTTCTTCCAGTAAGTCGTTCTTAAATTATATATTTTCATTTTTGTCTCTGTAGCGCATGGGTGAAAAAAAATGTACAGAATAAAATTGAATTCTTCTAAGTTTGATATTTAGTTTAAAAACTATTTTTATTCTGAACTAGAGTGCCACAGCTATTGTGCACGAGAGGAAATTTTATTTTTTTTAAAAAAATAATCTACTAATATTTATTTTTCTTTAGAACTTCCTTCTGTGTGTTTTTACCCTTCTGCAGTAAGTGCTGCAATACCAGAGGGAAAACATTTAAGTAATTTTTTTTAAAATCCTGTTTCCCTTGAAGGGAATCTATTTTAAGAAGTATGCTTCAGTGTAACTGATAGGTATGCCGCTGAATTTGGATCTGAAATGAAAAACTTGGGAGTAGCAGAACAAGCTGTTATTCTCATGGCGCACCTGTGGCCACTTGACAACACGCGGCAGATGAGCAAAAGAGCTCACGTGTCAAACGGTATGCTTCAATAGTTGGCTTAGGGGATGCTACATCCAATAGGCAGCAGAGGGCGATGTTTCTAACCATTCATACAGATGTGTAAACTTGCTGTTTACTGATGCAAATATCTAAGTCCTGCATTCTCGCAGGGGATGACGCCTAGGAGATTTCCACTTGGGATCTGGCGACAAATTGTGGATCTCGAGTTTTGACTGTCGGTATCATCAGCAAAATCATGCTATGCGTGGGTGAGACGTTGAAGTACATATAAAGAATTGGTCTTGAGAGAGCAGAATTCTTGAGCAGTGTTGGGTGAACTCTCTTGTGCTTGATTTGACTGGGGAAATGCTCAGGGAACAAAACTCATCTTCTGATAGTTCTCTTTTCACTTGTTGATGTGCATCAACCATGTTGACAATGGGTACATGTGCCTGGTAGTGACAGTAAAGCAAACTTTTCTTCCAGTAAGTCGTTCTTAAATTATATATTTTCATTTTTGTCTCTGTAGCGCATGGGTGAAAAAAAATGTACAGAATAAAATTGAATTCTTCTAAGTTTGATATTTAGTTTAAAAACTATTTTTATTCTGAACTAGAGTGCCACAGCTATTGTGCACGAGAGGAAATTTTATTTTTTTTAAAAAAATAATCTACTAATATTTATTTTTCTTTAGAACTTCCTTCTGTGTGTTTTTACCCTTCTGCAGTAAGTGCTGCGATACCAGAGGGAAAACATTTAAGTATTTTTTTTTAATCCTGTTTCCCTTGAAGGGAACCTATTTTAAGAAGTATGCTTATGTTCCTATCAGTTTTTCCATTGGTGGAACTAGTGCTTAGCAAAGTTAAGAATTTGCATGGTTTTTTTTGTGTTTAGCCTGTGCTCTTAATG